TAGCTGTGGGAAGTCTAATGTATGCTCAAGACTGTACTTGTCCAAATATAGCTTTTAGCTATCAAAGTAACCTAGGGCTAGTATATTAGAAAGAGGCTAAGAAAAAAATGACGTATATGCAAGGGATAAAGTACATTATGCTCACATAAAGTAAATTTGATCATCTTGATATAATTAGATATAATTACAGATTTTGCTGCCTATCTAGATAATAGGAAGTCGATATCAGGTTGTACTTCATGATAGCTGGTGGAGCCATTTCATGGCAGAATCATCGATTAGGGTAGCAAAATTTGCAGGTTGCTATAAGGCTACCAATCAAGCTTTGTGATTGTAGAATTTTATCTCGAGGCTTCATGTTGTAGATTTTATTTCCAAGCCGCTGAGAATTTTCTGTGATGATTATGTTGCAATTTTCTTCTCTCAAAACAACAAGTGCATGGATTTATCCAAGCATATAGAAATTAAATATCTTGTTGTAAGGAAGAAGTTAAGGGAACTTGTAGTGTCCATTGAGCACATCAATACAAAACTGATGATCGTTATTACCTTGACCAATGGTTTGAGTCCCAAATGGTTAGTAGAGCATGTTGCTCATATGGATTTAACTAACATATGCGATGCACTTGGTCAGTGGGAGTTATTTTGCTAGCATACAGTATGACACTCATTTAGTTTGATTTATGCATATTGGATGCATCAAAGTTCTTGTTGTATATGTATATATAAGGATAACATGATATAAAGTTTTGGACTATTTTTAAGTGGGATATAGATTTTCCCTTATCATAAAGTTTTTCGTCCACCATAAAGGTTAAATGTTGGAGACTATAGAGTGTTGGTGCTAATACTATAACCATAGAACGACAATGTGTCATTTATAGAATACAATTAGCCTTCATGATTTGGTATTAATAGCTCTACTTGTCAAAGTCTTGATTTTTGAGATAGTATTTTGCATTTGCTAAAGTTGATGATGTATTTTTAGTTATAATTGTTGTTAGCCCAAGTGGGAGGATGTTAGAAAATATCCTCAATTTATGGTGTAACGATAATTATATAAGGGTAATATTATCCACAATTTAAGTTAGTCGATTATCTAATATTAAGTTAAGAATTAGTGATAATCACCTTCCCCACTATTTCTTAAAGATAGCTACTTATGATGGGTTAGGATAAATGAAAGAAACATTATAAAGAAAGGATATAAGGTGACGGTCCCAGTTCTTACTCATTCTCCAAAAGGAAGCTTCCCATCAAGCTTGGAGGAGAAAAGATGTGAAGGCCGATATCCTCATTAAGAGATCAGAACGACAAACTGTTTTCTTTTATTGCTGGATCATGGAAGGTATGTTTACAATTACTGTTTTATTTTTGTTTTTCAATAATCATGAATAACGATCCAAGAAAGATTTATATATTTTTCTGTTTCTTAAATCTATAAATATGTAGTTTATTTTTACACTGCAAACAATATGTACCATATCTCATATTGTAGTGCCTTATTAAGTCATCTATAACTAAGACCAAGATTTATGGGCTCAACGTTGACCTTTGATATTGACCTATTGTTACTGAAAACTCATTTGTCTTTACACTAGTTGTTCGTATACTAGTTAGCACTCCATTGCACATATCTCTCGCCAAGTTGATGTAGTGTCTAGAGACTCATTTTTTTTTTCAATATCCACCAAATCAAATATCAAGTACTTTATAATAAGCTTTCTCTAGAGCAATAAAGACCATGCGGAGGTATTTTCTTTTTACCCTAAATTTGTCAATTAGTTGCCTAAGGAGAAAAATAACTTCGTTTATTGTCCTCCTTGGCATAAAACCGAATTGGTTTTTTGATACACACATTTCATGGCTTAGTCGTTACTTGAACAATATCTCCTAGGGCTTCATAATGTGGCTCATAAGTTTGATCCCTCAATAATTCAGATAATTATGTATGTCTCATTTGTTCATATGTGTAAATAATGTAGAAATATGTTTTATTTTTTGAAATTGGAAAACAATTCCCATTTTGTCATATTTACCTTTTTCTATTATTTTTTATTTTGTCAAAATACCATTTTTATTTTTTCAAAATACCTTTTTCTTTTATTCAATTTTAAAAAATTGTACAAACCCAACAGTGGGTCCAAGTAAGATACACAAAAGCAGATACATAAAGCTCACAAAAAGACTCCTTTAGTCATTCTTTTGCATAAATACTCATTTATTCATTTCTTTGCACATCTTATCCCATGTTCCATTCCCCAATAATTAGTGTCAAACAAAGAAATTATTTTGTGTCTAGTACATCTAATGAACATACAACTTCAATAAATCAATGCTTTAAATAATGAACATACCTTTTAATTATCATGAATATACATTTTAATTTGTTGGAATGTATACAATGAAACCATTTACTTTTGATAGAAGGTGCTCTCACAAGTACTTATCGACGTGAAATTTGATAGCTTGGATGTATCACAAAATTCGAAAAAAATTTATTTTGAAGTTTGAACTTGGTCAATAGAAGAATTACACTACCTGATTTTACATCCAATACTCAAGATTAATGTGAGCACCTTGTACCAAATGTAAATAGTCTCATTCTATACTTTTCCTTAATTATTCCAATGGTAATTAAACGAATCGAACTAACTTCCTTACAATAAAGAATGCCACCAATTCAACAATAACGCGAAAGGTTACCATACCCAACTCGTACATGATACATGGAGCAACTCAAGGGCATTAACCCAATAAGGGCTTTGGACAGGATACACCTGCTGTGTACCAATAGTAAGAAACCTGACCTAAACTTTATGAACAAATTAATTAAACAATGAAAGAAAAACCCATTTTTCTACTGTACAAACCCGTGTTTAAAAAAATGCCGAGTCGAACCGGACTCGCCCTGTTCGACTCGGGAATCGCCATGGACGGATCGAATTGGCGAAAAAAACGGAAATCGTCCGGTTCTTGAGAGAACCGGACGATTCTGTACAGTGACTCGCCGATTCACTGTACGGAATCGGTGTGTCCGTACAGTGAATCGGCGAGTCCCGTACGGAATTTTTTTTTTTGTTTTGTTTTGTTTTGTTTTGTTTTGTAATCCATGATAGATTTTTTTGTAATACTTGATCGATTTTTTTGTAATCCATGATCGAATTGTTTTTTTTTTTTGTAATCCATGATCGAATTTTTTGTTTTTTTTTTTTGTAACCCATGATAGAATTTTTTGTAATCCATGATCGAATTTTTTGTAATCCATGATCGAAATGTTTGTTTTTTTTTCTTGTAATCCATGATCGAATTTTTTGTTTTTTTGTTTTTTTTTGTAACCCATGATAGAATTTTTTGTAATCCATGATCGAATGTTTTGTAATACATGATCGAAATGTTTGTTTTTTTTTTGTAATCCATGATCGAAATGTTTGTTTTTTTTGTAATCCATGATCGAAATGTTTGTTTTTTTTTTGTAATCCATGATCGAATTTTTTGTTTTTTGCTTTTTTGTAACCCATGATGGAGTTTTTTGTAATCCATGATTGAATTTTTTGTAATCCATGATCGAATTGTTTTTTCTTTTTTGTAATCCACGATTGAATTTTTTGTTTTTTTTGTTTGTTTTTTTTGTAATCCATGATCGAATTTTATGTAATCCATGATCAAATTTTATGTAATCCATGATTGAATTTTTTGTAATCCATGATTGAATTTTTTGTAATCCATGATTGAATTTTTTGAAAATTTGTGATTTTTTTTTTTTAATCCATGATCGAATTTTTTTTTGTAATCCATGATAGAATTTTTTGAAAATTTGTGATTTGTTTTTTTAATCCATGATCGAATTTTTTTTGTAATCCATGATAGAATTTTTTGAAAATTTGTGATTTTTTTTTTTAATCCATGATCGATTTTTTTGAAAATATATATATATTTTTTTAATCCATATTATTCAAAGAGAAAATGAGAGAGATGATGATTCTGAGGCCACCCTATCCCAGCCATATTATTCACATATCGAGTCCCAACAGCAACATTGTAGGGATGAGCACGATAGTGCAGGTGAGCATGAAAGATGGACAATCTTCGGGGATTTTAGATTGGGAACACAACAAAACACTAACACTCAGGGATTTGGGAATAGTCAGACGCCTGTTAATATCGATGATTCATTTTTAGATCGAATCAATGAATTGTTAAACGAATTCAATCAATGGTACCAGCGTGACCAAGAAGAACAATAACGTCGTCTATCATTTTATTTTTAGATCATATGTTACTAATTTTATGCTTTATTGTAGTCCATGTATGTTGATATACTTATTCCATGATAATTATATGTTTATCCTTTTGTGTAATGTAAATTAAATGCTGAATGGCGGTTCATGCAGGGAAAAAACATATCAATATTCGCATATTCATTCAAAAACATGAAAATTCTGAATGGAGTACCCTCATTTTTTATTGAATTCCTAAAAAAAAATATTTATAATGAATTTTAATGATTTTTTCGGATTTTTTTTAAGCTTTATTCTGACCGATTCACCCGATTCTCGATCAGGATCGTCGATTCGTCGATCCGGATCGGTTTTTTGGAAGCCCGATCCAGATCACCGATCCGTTTTTTAAACCATTGGTACTACAAATCAACTTACCCCATGATTTCTAGAAAAATTAAATAAAAGAAAAACCCATTTTCCTACTGTACAAACCAACCTACCCCATAATTTCTAGAAAAATTAATTGAATAACAAGAAAAGTGGAAACAAAAACTCGGTACTCGATTCGTGACCCCGATCATGCATCGGGATTTCTAATTTTGTTCAGCAGATCGGCGATCTAGATCGATGGCCTCTACTGAATCACCCATTAAAAATTTAAACAAAAGTGGGTCGGGTTCTCTGACATGTGGAGAGCTCCTTATTCTTGGGGGAACAGTTTGCCCGACCTGGAATTGCCGATATCCAGATCGACATTTTTTTAATCCTTGGATTATACTAAGAATGAGGCATGCCTTGCCCTCGATTTCGAGCATTCCTCCTAGCTGCACGATCCTTCGACCTTCTCTCCAATCCAACAATCTGGGCCGTCCAAACCCTTCTCATATTCTCCTCCTCATCAAAACCGTCCATCACGGCCATGTCCAAATCGTACATCTCTCCAAGCTTCGAGTCGGATAGTGCACGGTACGCCTTGTTGAGCTCCACAAACTTTCTTGTGCATTCGAGCCTCATACTCGGATCGCACACGTCAGGGTGATAACGGAGAGCCATGGTTCTATATGCTTTCTTGATATCTTCCATGCCTAACTTTTCTGAGCTTTTTAGAGAGAGAGTGTCATAGTAAGAAGAGAGTTTAGATATTTTTGGGCTAGCAATGGCCATGCAACGAACAAGAGGTCTGTAATTCCTTTTGCAGGTAAGGTTTGGGTTTGGTGGAATGCCGAATTTGAGGGACAAAGCCATGAGAGACAGGCCTTGCACCTTCTTGGGCTGTTAGTCTAGAGAGAGAAAGAAGAAAGGAGGCCTTGCACCTTCTTGGGGTGTTAGTCTAGGGAGAGAAAGAAGAGAGAGGAGGCCTTGGACCTTCTTGGGGTGTTTTTTAGAGAGAGAGTTCTGGGGGTGTGTCTAGAGAGAGGAGGCCTTGGGGTGTTTTTTAGAGGGCTTGGACCTGGGGGTGTTGGTCTAGAGAGAGAGAGAGTTTGTGGGGGTGTGTGTCTAGAGAGAGAGAGAGTTTGTGGGGGTGTGTGTCTAGAGAGAGAAACTCTCTTGGTCACAAAAAAGAAGAGAGAGAAACTAAGTGGGTTTGGGTGTCCATGGAAGGGTGAGAATTTAAATAGGAGTGGAGGTGGGTGATTTGTATGGAAAATTGTTAGTGTGGTAAATATCGCCATGCACGCGGTAGGTAGTAGGGTGTCCAATTGTCTCTCTCGCTAGAAGCTAAATTAATTGTTTCTATCTCTAAAAACTAAATTAAAGCAGGAGGGGCCAGTTTGCTGGACACATTCATTGCATTAGAGCAAGAAATGAATATTGTTTGAACCGTTTGCCTTTGGGTAGACAACCAAATTTGGCTCAAATTTTGGGCTGACTTTGACTCAAATTTTAGATTTTATATTTTTGAGAGATTTTGCCGGCGTTAGGTTTTACTGCATCTTTTATGAGTTTTGAACGCACGATTCGCCTAACCGACCAAGTTGGAATAAAGTTATAAAGTTGAGATGATAATGATGATGATGATATATATTTTTGACTAATTTTAGTTGTAGGTTTGGGGGTAAGTAAGGTTGGAGACCATTTGGATACAGAGCTTAGGTTTTTTCTCTTCTTTATATATATTTATATGGGTTAAAGATAAACTTTTTTGTCGACGTAGATCAATTAAACTGCTATTTATTTTTACTTGAGAATATTTATGCATCAAAACAACTGTTATTTATTTTTACTTGAGAATATTTTATGAATCAAAACAACTTCTTCTTCTAGTGAAATGAAATTTTTGAGGTCCGCTCTATATAAACTTTACCCTTTTTACTTAGATATATAGCATTTTTTTGGAAAATAAAAAACTCCTAGAAAAATTTAAATATACGAGAAAAAATAAAAAATAAGAAAACACGAGTATAATGGTTAGAAATAATGTTTAGGAATATTTAGCTAGTTTTCAAGATCATTTGGAAACTTTCTCCTTTTCTATTTTTTTTCAGAAATATCTGATATTTGAATCTAATTTTTCAATAATCCATCTTTTATAGATTTTTTTTAATCATCTTTAGTCGATTATTCCTATTAACCCTTTTCTCTGATTTTTTAAATACTTTTTAAATTTTTTTTACTTTTTTATTATTTTTTTTTGTTTTTTGTGTGCAATTTACTCAACCAAGTCCGAGTCTCGGGCTCGGCCCTATTACTCGCCTCATCCATGGACAAAGTCCATGGCTGCGGCGATTTCCAAAAGATTGTATTTAAAGAACTCCTAAGTTCACTTTAAAGACACACAAACATGTTTTCTTCTCTTTTTGATGAGTCTCTAAAAGCTAGCTCATCTGATTGTAGTCAATGAATGGACCACATACTGAATAGAGATTGGAAACAATCATAGACACAAGAAAATTCAATTTGATCTTATGATAATTTGTGGAGCCAAATTATTATAAACAAGATTAAAAAGGAAAAGAAAACCCAGAAGAGAAAATGGCCAAAGATACATAAACTCAGCCCATAACTGAAAGACGCAAATCCAAAACCATATTGCCAGCAAAATCCAATCCTCAACAACTGATTCACTCCATTGCCTAAAACCCACATACATGAACTGCAGGAAAAAAAAAAGACAAAAAAAAGAAAAAAAAAAAGAAAAAAAGAAGGAAATCGGTATTGGGTTTCCTAGGGCAGCATACATAGGTGATTAATATGGAAAAATGAGTTAATGGTTGCAAGAAATGTCTGAATCTCAATTACATCGGGATCAATGGTGGAAACAAGAGAAGTGGCTATGTATATTATCCCAAAGCCCAAGCTGCAGGCTATGAATATTATCCCAAAACACAAAATCAGATATAACCTAAACACATTTTCCTCTCATTGCTCTACATAATATCCCTAACTATCATAAATCAATAAAAAACCAACAGGATAATAACGGTTATTAACAATTTTTGGAAATCTTGACCATTTCAAAATTCTCTTTGATCTTTAGAAACACACGATGATATCCCATTAATTGTAAAGTGTACTTCTAATCCATTCATTTCAGCACCATTTCCGCGGCATGATAGATCCCACGGTTGAGTTCACTCCTATTATCCCAGAGTTTTTGTGTACAACTCAGGCATATTAAGTTCTAAAAAAAGTTCCAAAAAAAAGAAAAAAAAAAGTGGGATTGATTTATAAATTTTTGTGTATGATCTATATCCTTTTTTTTTTGCAAAGATCGATAAGTGTTTTTTTTTTTTTTGCCATAAATCCATATTTATATATATATATATATTTTAAATTTTTGAAAAATGCCCCAACTATATATCTATTTTCCTAAATCCATCTTTGCAGTACTTTTTAAGTTTATTTGGACTCCTCAAGGTTTTTGTTTTATTTTTATTTTAATATTTTTTTTTCTTCATGTTGGATTTTTTGTCTCATTATTTTTAATTTATTGAGGGCTTTTTTCTCATTATTTTTAATTTATTGAGGGCTTTTTTCTCATTATTTTTAATTTATTGAGGGCTTTTCAGGCCTGTGCTGGACTCAAGTGTCGCTTGCCTCGGCTAGGAGTGAGTTCCGGCCAAGGTAAGTCTCGGCATACCATTTCCAAGTATTTGAATCTCAATTCCAATTTATTTCTCAATCAACACTTTCCCCACTTGTGAAAACCCGTGAACCGACAACCACATGAAACTCAGAATTCTTAAAACTCGAATTATAGTGATTGGTTTCCTATATTTATCCCCTTTGAATTTCATGTTTCTTTTTTTTATTGTATCCATGCTACCCAATCGAAGATGTAGGGTCCTCGGGTACCTCTATTTTGCATAATTAAGAACCTCAGAAATCAATATCTCACCCAAGATCATATACATAGTTGACTAGATGTTAAACATACAAGTATAATAACAATACAAGTTCGGAAAGTACAACAAAAACAAAAATACACCACAATAACACAATATGTATGTGGTTCATCTCAAAGGACTACCCTCAAAGCCTCGGCAAGTTAAAATCCATATAATACACATAAGAATCATTTAGCTTTGTAACTAGATAATTTTTGCTTTCTAGGAGTTTGAAGGAGCAATATCCTTCTTCTTTGTTTGTGTGAAGTGGCAAGCTTGAGAGGCATCAAGACACATCTCCTTCAATTCCTTGTGGACCTTCTTGTCATTGCCCAAAAGACTTCACATCTCAGCTTTCATAAGATCTCAGCTCACTGGATCGATGTATCAATCTGTCTTTCTTTTATATAATTGTTATCAAGATTGTAGCGGACTTCATCACCACATTTCTTACAGGCTTAAGACCTAAAGATATGGCTACATGTACGGATTCTTTTTTTATAGAGAAGTTGATATCCTCATTCGATCTATGAAAGACATGAGATTAACCTAAAGAAAATTGCTTTCATTTAATATTTGCTGGAATGACCTCTATAAAATGTTGGTTCTACTTCAATAATCTCATTCTAAGAAATGGCGTGTCCATGATTCCATTCCTTTACAAGAATTTGTCGATTCCTTTGACATGAACTCCACTTTCTTGCATCCACCATTTCACTCCAATTTTCTTGTTTCAATGATTACTTTGACTTGAAGCAAAAGGCTTAAGCCTCCTCCAGGTGTCATTTGAATTTTTAAATCAAAATCCTTAAGGCATTGAACTCAACCTATGATTTTTCCAAGTTTCATTCTCCATTCTCTAATCAGTGAAAATCTTTCACATTTTGCGAAAACTCATAGATCTAATCATTGCCTTGTTTATATACTCATTGCTTTGCTTCCAATAATGTCTTCCTTTGTGGGGCTCTCTGTCCATACATAGTGGCTAACTCGTCCCATTCTTCTTTTAAATTCTACATCTCTTATGGGTTTTACATAAGAGCTTATCCCACATGCAACAACACGTGTTGGAGTAGAAGTAAATTCACTTCTTTGAAGAAATACATAAACGAATTTAAACACGATTGAGGAATAATCTTTTTGGCAAGATTTGAGAATGAATTTTCTTCGTAATTTCCATTTAAATTTAGAGTTTTTCTGAGCGTATATTATTTTTTGGTCTCCATGCTAGGCTCTTTCTCTTGGAAGCTTTATGTTAAACCGGTGTACAAGCGCTTTCTGAATAATAATGTATTGATTACGCTAAACTCTAAAGATGAAATTGATCAAGTTATCAAGCAATGAAATTAGAGATTTCAAAGAAGTTTTCTGACAATATAACTGTGGCCTGAGTCTTTAAGTTTTTTTTTAGATTAAATCAAAAAACATATTGTCAAGGATTGCAGGTTTGCCATTACACGCGTGGAACTTTGAGGTTTTTATAGAATTGCAAATGTATATTGTTTAAATAGATTTTTAGCTGTTGGTTAAAAAAAAAAGTGATTTTCAGTAAATCATGTGAATAATGTGAAAATAGCTTTTCAAAAAGATATACTTACATGTAAACCTCCCTATAAGTTTAACTCTGATGACTTGTGATGGATAGTCCCCAAACAACATGCAATTCATTATTGAGATTATTTTTATTCAAAGAATGAATTATCCGTTATAATGAGTGCATCCAAACCAACCTTAAGAAAATTAGTGTAAGCAATG